TTATGTCTAAAAAAAGAAACGCACGTTACTGGCTATTCAAAAATGTGACGGGTTACTCGTTACTTAAAAAATTAAATATTATGTACAAAAAATAATTTCTCCCTTATATATATATGTCGTAATTTTTAAAGGGATCAGAACTATCCGGGATCTTCACGGGATTTAAAGGGATAACTAAAAAATTAGGGTTTTAAATTAAGGAATGATAATAGATTATCACGTTTTAATCGTGATAAAGAGGAATCTTATTTTAAAAGCGTTTTCCACGAGTTTCGTTGCGTTTTTAATTTACAATTTTGTTTTTTTGGCTCTTATGATATAAGATATGTCTAGTATAGGGTATCAATCGATAGCTAATCAAAAGATCTATTCATCTGGAGGTGAATAATGGGCGGTCTAGAGGGTAGGGGGGGGGGTGTAAAAATAATTTTTTTTGATATGGATATCAATCGATAGCTAATCAAAAGATCTATTCAACTGGAGGTCAATCTCTGCCCCATAATGGGCGGTCTAAGGGGGTAGGGGAAGGGGGAGGGGTGTAAAAAATAATTTTTTTGATAAGGGTATCAATCGATAGCTAATCAAAAGATCTATTCAACTGGAGGTCAATCTCTGCCCCATAATGGGTGGTCTAAGGGGGTAGAGGAAGGGGAGGGGTGTAAAAATATTTTTTTGATATGGGTATCAATCGATAGCTAATCAAAAGATCTATTCAACTGGAGGTCAATCTCTGCCCCATAATGGGCGGTTTAGGGGAGTTGGAGTGGGGGGGGGTGTAAAAATATTTTTTTTGATATGGGTATCAATCGATAGCTAATCAAAAGATGTATTCAACTGGTGGTCAATCTCTGCCTCATAATGGGCGGTCTGGGGTGTGTAGATGGGGGATGTAAAAAATATTTTTTGATATGGGTATCAATCGATAGCTAATCAAAAGATCTATCCAACTGGAGGTCAATCTCTGCACCATAATGGGCGGGTGAGGGAGGGGGGGGGTTTAAAAATTTTTTTTTTTGATATGGGTATCAATCGATAGCTAATCAAAAGAATCCAACTAGACATTTTGTTAATAAAAAGATAAACCTTTTATTAAGAATTTATAATATTTAATACATTGAACTTAAAAGTAAAACATATATACGTAATTTAAAAAAAATATATCAAAAATGTCATGTAAACTATTTATATAAAATCTATATAAAAAACTGTATATAAAAAAAATAAATAATTAGTATAGTAAATTGTATGTTGGGTTGGAGGAGGTCAAGAAAGAGAGCCATGGATGGCAAAGCAGTTAGATCTGCATATATCAATAGATATGCGCTATCTGAGATAGAAGCCTTCCTGTGGGTCACCAGGGATGGCGCGGATTTTTTTACCGAGGGATTTGAAGATTAGGGCATGATTGCCAAAAGAACCGGTTGTGTCGGATACGATTGGTATGAGATTTCAATTGGATAGGGAAGTGTATTTATTAATTTTCGAGTTTTCAGCTCGCATGAATGAGTTCTTATTAAAGGAGGGAGCAAATCGGTCGATGCAGGTATAGTCCCATGCTAATGGAATTCCATTACTCCATGGTATTAATGTCAGCCCATCTGGACGTATATTATTCTCGGTTGAGAGGCCACAGGGTTCGAGGTTTGCTGGAATTTGAGCTGAGCGTAGAACACGGAAAATGGTGCCGTTAACTGCACTCTGTCGAGAATGTCTGCCTTTAGAGAATCGACAATGAAGAGGATGATGTCCAAAACAATCAACGGGTTGGGAACATAATGTACATGTGGAGTTGGCTAGTATATTACAACCAAGACGGAGACCTATTGCTATGCATAATTCTTCTTTGTTAACAGAAGTCCTAAGTTTGAGCTGGGCAAAGCTTCTAACCATTCATAGCCCGATAGGGAAAGCAAAAGTTGTGGAACTTGCAGTTGTGGGATAGAGAGATGATCAACTGTTAAGGATTCATCAACTGTAATCGGAGATAATAAATGTGAATGGATTGATGGGGATCCCTTAGAAGCAGCACTCGATATTAGATATTCAACGGAGTTGGGTATTAAGGGAAGATCCCAGAGGGCTGGCAGTCATATCCATCAAAACAAAAAATAAATATTTCTATATAAAGATATTTAAATGAGCTTTTATTTGATACCCATATCTATATTTTATGTTAATAAAAATATTCGTCACACTCCAAGACCTAGACCCGCCCTCTATAGTGGTTATTATAATTACAATAAAAAAATATTTTAATTACCTTTTATTTAATACCCATATCAAAAAAAATATTTTCTACACTCCCCCCCCCCATCCACACCCCCAGACCGCCCATTATGGGGCAGGAATTGAGCTCCAGTTGAATAGATCTTTTGATTAGCTATAGATTGATACCAATATCAAAAAAAAATATTTTTTACACCCCCCCCCCATCCACACACCCCAGACCGCTAATTATGAGGCAGAGATTGACCTCCAGTTGAATACATCTTTAGATTAACTATCGATTGATATCCATATCAAAAAAATATTTTTTACACCACCACCCCCCTCCTACCCCTACTCCCCTAGACCGCCCATTATGGGGCAGAGATTGACCTCCAGTTGAATAGATCTTTTGATTAGCTATCAAATGATACCACTATCAAAAAAAATTATTTTTTACCCCCCCCCCAACCCCCACCACTCTCCTAGACCGCTCATTATGGGGCAGAGATTGACCTCCAGTTGAATAGATCTTTTGATTAGCTATCGATTGATACCCACCCATATCAAAAATAATTATTTTTTACACACCCCCCCCCCCTTACCCCCTAGACCGCCCATTATGGGGCAGAGATTGACCTCCAGTTGAATAGCTATCAATTGATACCCATATCAAAAAAATTGATTTTTACACCCCCACCCCTACCCCCTAGACCGCCCATTATTCACCTCCAGTTGAATAGATCTTTTGATTAGCTATCGATTGATACCCTATACTAGGCATATCTTATATCATAAGGCCAAAAAAACAACATTGAAAATTAAAAAACGCAACGAAACTCGTGGAAAACGCTTCTAAAATAAGATTCCTCTTTATCACGATTAAAACGTGATAATACCGTATAGTTCTTTATCCTTTAAAAAATTGAAATTTTAAAGGGATCCCTTTAAATCCCGTGAAGATCCCTGATAGTCATGATCCCTTTAAAAATTACGACATATATAATAAATATTATATGCAAAAAAAATATATAAGGCATCTTTATTAATAAATTTTTATGTATATAATTTATAAATTAAATAATATATTATACGATTTTATTTATTTTAACAATTTTGATCAAATAGACAAGAGCGCTTAGTGAACACACGTTCAACTAGCGTAGTGAGAAAGTTATATTATATTCGATAAATAGAAATTTTAATTGAGGGAATTTATTTAAAATGAAAGAATAATCTTTATTTTGATAAAAACTTAGTTCATTGTCAAAAGAATCTTCATTCAGATCCTTATCTAATTTTTTTTAATATTCTTTATTAGAAAATAATCTGTACGTGTGTTGTTTTTTAAATGAATCAAGTCTGTCTTTTTTTTTATCAAGATCTTTTCTCAAATAGGAAATAAGTTCAATCCTTACTTCGCTGGCATCTAATTTTATGAGAGCCAATCTGATTTAAATAGCGGATGTGATAATATAAATTTAATTGAAATAAAATATTATCATGATATAAATTGTGAACAATACTTCAACTGTATACCTTTTATCTTTGTCTTGCAGAATTGCATTAATAAGTGGTTTTTACAAAATGAAATATTTAAAGCCATTTTTTAAATATTATAATCGTGGGAGTGAGATTTCTCGAATGCATTTTTTCTTCTCTCTAAAATCGAAAAAGTCGTAATAACAGGTTCCATAACCTGTGAAGCCATACAATATTTATCTATAAACGACTTGTCATTATCTGAAATTTGGATTTATCACAAAATTCGTCAAATTCGTAGCCATTCCCCTTAATAAGACTATATTATTTCATAGTTGTTCCATCTTGTTATAACCAGTTTATAGATATCCCATTTTTTCCTTAAAAATGGCAGCACACTTTGTAGAATGTTCATGTTTATTCCACAATTGAGGTTAAAATATTTTAATTGCAGCACAATTTACACTTATAAAGTGTAAACTTTGTATCCTATTTATTGGTGTAAAAAATGTTTCATATTTGAGGCAAGGCATACTCTTCTTCATCTGAAAATATATTCTTTATAAAATAAATTATATTAATAATAATATAAATTTACATAGATTGATCAATTCAATAATAATGGAAGATTTAATAACGAATAAAATAAAAATGAAGGAATTTGGAGGTTCATGTGAATTAAAAATTTGGATTAAATTATTTATAAAATTTAAAAATATATAAAAGTAATTATATAATAGAACAAAATGTTTTTCCATAATTTTTAATAAAAATTTGGTAAAATTTTGAGTTACCGTTACTCAAAAAAAAGAAACGCGTTACCGTTAATCGTTACCTCTAGCAGAATGTAACGAGGTCACTTTACAGCACTAATTTCTATTTATTTTACCAGCGAAAATTTTCCGACCTTTTTAAATCTCAAATTCAACAATAACTTGGAGAAAAAAATATTTGATTTTCTTATAAAATTAAAATATCGTCTATCAAATTAATTCGCATTTAATATATGAAATAGAAAATCATTATCTAATTTAGAATAGATTTTTTTATTTTAAATAAACGATCAAATTAAAATAATTTTTCAAAACCCGAACGAGCCTGTTTCTCAAAATTAGCATTCACATATAATATAAAAAGGTTTGGACTCAGTGAATGGTATCCGGATCCCTGGATAAAACCCCTCGATTGAGTTTCCTTTTTAAAGTGAGCCAGCCTCTGAGTAAAACCGGGTTAATTTTATTTCTCACAAACTAAACCAATTTCTTGATTTTATGTTAAAAATAAAAAATGTAGTCCTTTTTTTTCTTAATTAGATTTCAAGTGGATCCTAAAAAACCTATCGGTGGAAATATAATGGCACATGCTTCGACCACCAGAATAAGTTTGAGAAAAGGAAGAGGAGAGAACAGAATCGCAAAAATATACGACAGGTTTAATTACCATAAAAAAATTCATTTATTAAAGATAAGATCAACTTTATTAAAAGTGTGTTTAATCTAAAAAAAAAATTTTTAATGTTCAAAAAGATTATAAATTACCAGAGTTCGAAAAAATGTTTTCTTTAAGGCTATATCCAAAAAAATTCGAAAAGTTTTAAAACTTATGTTAAATTCATAACATGTTATTTTTTTCTTCTTCTTTTTTAATAAAGTTAGAAAAATTTGTGAATCAAATTTTTCGATATTTTGGAAACTGCAGAGATTTTTTGATCAAATACCTAAAAATGCCAACATCTTTCTTTATTTTTATAAAAAAACTTTAATTAGTAAATCTTTTCTAAATTTTATGCATAAAAAATCTTTTAAGAAAAAAACCTTTAAAAAATTTTTTCAAGATTTTTTATAAATTACTATTTTCACTCAAACAAAGCCCAAATATGCCAGAGAGCGAAGCAACATTTGCGATAACTTTAGGAGGTATAGCCGATGCCAAGGACTAATTTGTTAAAATTGTTTTCATAATAGAAAAATCAATTATATTTATATATAGAATCTGACAATAAATGTTAATGTAATATTTATTCTAATAAATATAATAAATAAATACGATATTCAGAATTTATAATTTTGATTAATCCTTAAAAACGGTAAAAAATAAAATTAATAAATTACATCGATACTGAAGGATAAAAAACACAAATAGATTATTAGTTAATAAATATTATAGAAAAGCCTTTTACAATGTTTTCTTCTGTTCATAGGCAGGTGGTGCCCCAGGAATCGTAGTGCCAGGTTGCTAATAAATATTGTTATGATTTAAAATATTCTAAGATATTATTTTACCGATGGTACATATATATTTTGAGGATTTTGGGGATCATAATAAGCGGGTGACACATTGGCATCTATTCAAAAATATATATGTTTTTAAAAAATAAATATTTACTTTGCATAGGAGGAGCATTGGGAAGATTGGGATATATTCCTGGATAAGGTGGCGGAGCATTAGAGTACATAACAGGCTCCTCTAAAAATATTCAAAAAAAATGTGTTTTTTAAATTAGTATTAATTTTAATTGAATAATACAATGATTTTTCGCTCAATTTCTTATAAGTATTAAGTTATGATGCATAGTAATTTTGGTCCTTACCCCTGAATAGAGTATACTTTAAGAAAAACAGTTAGTGAACTCTTTTTAGAATAAGTATATTATAAATTTTTGCAGATGATATGATATACCAAGATATGTAGTGATTATTTTAATTTTAAAAAAAGAAAGACTATTATAGTAATATGTAATTTCTCATTCTCATGTCATGATCAACTATATTAAAAGATTATATCAAAAAATATAAAAATAATTCAGTGGAAAATTAATTTTGTGTCCATTAGAAAGTGCCACTGTTTATTTAAATGAAGTGCCAGCACATATAATTTTTTCCATTATTATATGATGTTTAAATATACATAATTTAATAATATTATAAAGTTAATAATTTTATATATTTAACATGTTGTCTTGTAATGGTATTAAAAAAGTGCCTTTTATTGAAAATTTTATCAAGAGAATAAGATATATTATAACTACTATTAAGATATAAAAAAAGAGGTTGAATTTGAGTTAATCAGAGAAAGTTCCTAGATACAATAGATCTAAAATTAGATATGTTTAATCTTGATAGTACAATTTCTTACCCTGATAATCGTTTTCCAATAATAACATTCAAAAGATATTAAATGTCCCAACCAGACAAAATAATATATTAGTTATGTCAAAAGTATTTCCAGAAATAATAAAAATAATCTTTATAATATTTTAAAAATAATTTTCAAACTATGCATTGGAAAATTTCTTTCATCGCAAAAAGGATTGGATATAATTTCTCAAAATTGAGATAGAAACTTATATATGAGTAAACAATAATGATATATCAGAAATGATTATATTTAAGAGAAATATATAAAAGTTTTAAAATTGTTAATGTCGTAAATTGCAATGTTTTTTTTTATTTCTAGTTGAAATCAATCATTTTAACTGATTTTTTTTTGAGTTATCATTTTTTTTATCGTTTTTAATGAAAATGATTTTTATGATCATTAATTTTTTTTACATATGAAATTTGATAAAATTAATTATTTTTATTTGTGCTCTCGAATTTAATAAAATTATTGTTTAAAGTGAATTAATTTTGGATATTAAAGAAATAAAAGATTATTAAAAAATCCTAAAGTATCACATTTTTCTTAGCTTGAGTACGTTTCTGATTCGTGCGATTTTTGACTTTCAGTAAGTCATTTTTATTTTTAGATCTTGGCCAGTTTAGATTCTGCTTATTTTGTAGCGTTTTCTGCTTTATTTTCTCATAATATATCACAAAATTCTACAGGATTTACATTATTACATAGAAATTTTTGTATTAGTATGTAATTATTACATTTTTTATATATACGCATGCCATTGGCCCATAAAGGGGTGGCATGTAGTAAATTGGAATGTTTTTTTATTTTTAGTTAAAATGTCAATCATTTTTAACTTTAATTTTTTTTTTCACATTTTTTTTTAAATAAGTTTTTTTTGTCTAATAAATTTTCTTAATATTTTGTTACAAAATATTTGAGAATAATCATTAACAATAAAAGATCATAATAATGCAAACGAATAGCTAATTACTTGATTTCGGCTCCTGCTATCTTCAGGTTATGCTCATTCAAAAGAATACAGGCATGACCATTCAGTCACCTATATCCCAAGAGAATGTAATGACATCCACTAGACCTAGGAAGCGACGATGTTACAACTGTAACATGGCCTTATCTGGAGTCAATGCAACGCTATCAGTAGAGGCTCTCGCGCCCGCTAACTCCGATAAATGACAACTCTGTGAGCGAGTCCGCTGGAAGTAGCAAACGAAGGATGCGCGACCCAACACCTGTCCAACTGTCGCTTCCTACCGCTAATCCGGTTCCATCTGCTAACAGAGGGAAGTTACTAATGGGAACATCCAGTAATAGATCCAGTCTCTCTTCAACCCCACCAGCAGAGGACATCATACAAAGAGCGATGACCACTCTCGATGAGACAGCTCCTTGCACCTTGGGGTCCCTGATGTTGCTACAAAATAATAAAGCAATGGATTTGTGGGAGATTCAAATATTACTACCGTGATGTCTCCCACAACATCCTGCAGTACTTACATCCGGATTATTCTCATAATATATCACAAAATTCTAAAGGATTTACATTATTACATAGAAAATATTGTATTAGTATGTAATTATTACATTTTTTATATATACGCATGCCATTGGCCCATAAAGGGGTGGCATGTCGTAAATTGCAATGTTTTTTTTTATTTTTAGCTGAAATGTCAATCATTTTAACTTTTTTTGAGTTGTGATTTTTTTTTATCATTTTCAATGAAAACGATTTTTATGATCATTAATCTTTTTTATATATGAAATTTGATAAAATTAATTATTTTTATTTGTGCTCAAATTAACTATCAAAATAAAGCAGAAAACGCTAACAAAATACGCAGAAAATCTAAACTGGCCAAGATCTAAAAATAAAAATAACTTACTGAAAGTCAAAAATCGCACGAATCAGAAACGTACTCAAGCTAAGAAAAATGTGATACTTTAGGATTTTTTAATAATCTTTTATTTCTTTAATATCCAAAATTAATTCACTTTAAACAATAATTTTATTAAATTCGAGAGCACAAATAAAAATAATTAATTTTATCAAATTTCATATATAAAAAAAATTAATGATCATAAAAATCATTTTCATTAAAAACGATAAAAAAAATGATAACTCAAAAAAAAAATCAGTTAATATGATTGACATTTCAACTAAAAATAAAAAAAACATTGCAATTTACAACATTAACAATTTTAAAACTTTTATATATTTCTCTTAAATATAATCATTTCTGATCTATCATTATTGTTTACTCATATTCATATATAAGTTTCTATCTCAATTTTGAAAAATTATGTCCAATCCTTTTTACGGTGAAAGAGTTTGAAAATTATTTTTAAAATATTATAAAGATTATTATTATTATCTCTGGAAATACTTTTATATTTTAAAGCAGTTATAATATATCTTATTCTCTTGATAAAATTTTCAATAAAAGGCACTTTTTTAATAATAACAATGAACATATATGTAAAAGGTTGGTGTATTAGAAGAATATGGGTATAGGTCATCCAATAATTTTAGGAATACAGAATCCTAGAGGAAAATACCAATATTTTCCACTACAATAAAAGTTATTAAAAGTACAACATATATATGTCCATATAAACTAATGAATCTTCTCCACCACATTAAAAGTATAACCAAATATAAAACTAAACTTAGATTAAATAGAATATAACAATATTATAATCTTATATTATTTTTGGAATTTATTTCCCATATAAATAATTAGACACAAATTTAGAGAGAGAATTAAATGCTGAGATAAGAGAAAGAACTAAGATAAAAAATTTACTTATGTCATTAGGAGGAAACATCTGGGTTGGCATTTGGAAACCAAAATCAGTATTGGGTGGGGGCATATACATACCTGGATTAGCTGTGTTATATGGAGGTGGCGGAGGTTCATAAGGAGGAGGTGCCATCTTTCCTCTTCTAGCAGCTTTAATTTGTGAATTAAAATACATATTTATCCATGATATTTTTTATAACTATATTCTTGGCAATTTCTAGTTTTATATCTATATTTTAATTTAAAATAATATGTATTCTTAAGAAATATTTCAAAATTGATGTAGATGTGTATATATATAAAGATTAAATACTATATTATTTGCAAAAGATGTAAAAATATTGTTCTTAAAAAATCAAATTTAATATGAATATTCTGACAATAAAACTATCATGAAAAATAAATATATAATTTTATCAGATTTAAATATTTACTTATTTGTGCAGCATTTAGTAATGCTTTTCCAAACTCTATAGCTCCCCCAGTATTAAAACTAATTTTAAAGGTGGCAATGCCTTCCCAATTACCATTTGGCTGGGCAATTACATGTCCTTTAATCAAATTTGCCCCAAAAACAGGTTGCTCTAATTCAACCTTATCCATGCAAATAAAAGGTATACTAAATGATTTAAGCAGATCTTTTTGATTTTTACACAAGTATACAATCTAATTAATTAAAATAAACTCTTATTATGCTATAATCCAAAATTATGTATTACCCTATGTGTAGTTAAAAAAAGTTGACCTTTTTTTGTACCTTGCAATTCTTTCTTTTTATCATTAGCTACAATCGTGAATTCAACTTCTTTCGAAAAGAGTAGTATCCTAAAAAATGATGATTATATTAACGAATTCTTATATTTATACATTTCCCCATTATATATTAATAACCCTCCATCTTTATGAGAGGTATTTAAAGACATAATACCAAAATAATAAATACAATAAATTTATTAAATTTTACAATATCAACAAGGATTGCAGGATAATATAATAGATATAAATTTAACAATATCAAGGATAATTTAATAGCTATTACAGTGTAGTGCAGATTGAATTCAAACATTTCCATATTTTTTGTAAATCAAATTATTCAACTTTAATAAAAATATATAAATATGTTATTTTAACAATTAATAAGTTTATATTCAAATAAATTTAGAAGTATGAAATTTTTTCATCAAATCTGGCCAAGTAGTAAAAAATATTATTACATAGATCTAAAGGATTAACTTAGTTTTATAGCAATTAGTAAAAAGAATGATTGCTATATTGATGTAATTTGTTGTTGTCGTGAGTAATTTATTTATTTATAAAGTTAAGTTAGTAAATTATTTTATTTTATTTTTAATACTTTATTATCAGAGTAAAATTTTATTTTATAAAACATTTAAAAACAAATAAAATCGGTTGAGATGACCTGATTTATTTTTTTTTAATATATATATTTCCTTTTTATTATATATTAATAACTTAATACTAACCTTGCGGACTCATTTTATAATATTACCTCAATAGTTTGATTTAAATTAATTATTCGTTTATATAATTTATTAATTTGATGTTTCGTTTATATAAATTGATTCTTACAAGATATATAAACATGAAAATATATTGCATTAGTGGTTAAATAATTTTTTAAATAAATAAAAATAAAATAAAATTTTAAAATACTTTCTTAATTTTGTTCTTCTCCCTGTCAACCTTATAATGGTGGCAGCGGCTATCTTTGTAAATTTCTATGTATATTTATTAAAATTTTATTAAAATATAAAGATGAATTCATAATATTAATTATTTCATATTTCTAAAAATAAAATAAATAAATAGTATAGAAAAAATTTTTTTTTTTACAATTAATTAAATATGGTAGACGATAAAAAACCACTGTTTCCAATGGTACTATATTATGCGAATTTCCTAAGTATATAGGAAACATTGATATTTAACTGATTGAACTTATTTTTAAAAATAAAAATATCACAGATGATGATAGCGCCACACCAATGGCGTATCTAGGGGGGAGGGCGCAGGGGTTCAAGCCCCCAAAAAAATTTGAATAGCCCCCTGAAGAAAAAAAATTCTTATTTAATGGCTCCTTAATATCCCGAATTAGAAATTTTTTTTTGATTGCCCATTAAATGATTTCTTTTATAATTCCATTAAGTAATATATAGATATAATTTTATTATCTAGAAATTAATAAGACTATATAAATTTTTATTAAATGAATATTATTTTAATTATTAGATTGGATTAATACATATAAATTATATTTTCACTATGTCAGATTTCAATCAAATTCTGTATTAAAAATATAATATCAATAACTCACTAAATATTAATTTAGCTTTAACAGTTGAAGTTTAATTGACTTTTATTATTTAAATTATTATTTAACCCTATAATCATATATTATTGGAAAATTAACAAATTTAATGTTGTAATTAGCCGAGTTCAAAATAATCAACTGTATATTCATTGAATTTTATCATCACACCTTAAAAATATTTTCAAGGTCGTAGACATATAGTTTATAATCCTCTACTATAGTATTTGACAGTTGTAATATATTACAGTTAATATTATAATACATTTTACTAATAAATGGTTTTGATAATATAATAATAAATTGCAATCAAATATTTAACGCCATCTATTTAATAAATATATTTAAAATGAAATATTTTATTATTCATCCTGCAATAGATGTAATAAATTTGATATCTTTTCTCTCTTTTTTACGTGTTTTTAGGAAAGCTATTTTTTTCTTTTCCGAAAAACAGGAGTTAAATTTTTAATACAAGTATATTTTTGATATTATTACAAACTACTATTATTTTAAGATATAATATATCAAGGTGGTGCCACAATATGTAAAATCTTAATTGTTTCATCATATCATTCTGGTCCTTATTTTATAATTAGAAAATGTTTCATTTCTAATATGGCATTGTCGTATAAATAACTCCAGCTTCAATATATTTGCATAATTATTTCTTCCAAAGATTTTTAATGTTTTTATTTTATCAATTTATCCAACATAATAAATTCTGATATTAGTTCACATCGTGAGTGTCATGGCTATTCTGCAAATTAACCAGCAATTATTTGTGTTGCTATGTAATTTAAGATTATTACTATAATACGGCTGAGAGCAGATAATTGCATATTTTAGATAATCAATAATGGTCAACTGTATAGTCGTATATATCATTTAAAATGGAAGATAATCTTTTAGAAATTTAATATCTCACAATAATTTTCTCGATTGCTTATCTAGCTTCCATTATGTCATCTAAGAGGAAGCTCTAACCACCATATAGTTTTATGATATGGATTAGTCGTTTATGCTCTCTCCGTCAAAAATTGTTGATTGGGTTTAGGCCAATAAATTTTCCTTATTAGTCCATTCTATAAAACATTGTCTAAAATGGTAACAGGGGGCTATACTAGTTTGATAACCTTTTGTCAATGTAAGTTCTTAGGAATTATATTATTGCAATATGTGGTTTTTTATATACTAATGATATATTTTCTAAACTACAATCGATATGCATTGAATCCAATCTCAAAAAATCGTCGACCCTTATCAATAAACTTAGATTTACAGCCTGCCAAGATTAGAAACAAATAAATTAGTGAATTCTATGCAGCGGTATAAAAAGAGAGCGAAGGTTTTTGGATTGGGTTACACGCAATTATATATATAACTACGTATATGTCAGCTCAATATGGACTGCAACTTTATCGGATACGACAGGGTATTAGAAAAAATAAAGGTATCAAGCTCATCTCTGATATTGAAACATCTATCTTTTATAAAATCCTTCTTTTGTAGATATGTAAATAATTATAAAAATAATAATAAATATAGTATTAAGGAGGATTGATAAATTTATTTATAATAAAGTTTTTGAAATAAAAATTGTTCTCCGCAACATATTGATCTCTGCAACAATAAGATTGTTATCAAATACAACAAACACTCTGATCTTAAACATTTGGAGGGAGTAAGATAAGATAAGAAAGTTTACGAACAAAAACCAACTAATACTACATATGACAGTACCCAGATGATGCCATATACTGAGAGCAACAGACATTATTATAATAATTATAAACATCAGTTTAGACAACCATGGCAGACTCGACCATATTTTGGCAACCAAAGATTTAACAACAAAAATAATTATCATTTTCCAAGACGAAATGAGATTTCATAATCGAAATAGATGGGAAACTCCTTATTTTCCTTTCAATAATCACGAGCGACACAAGAGATAACAATAATAATAGATCTAATAATAACAATTATGGATATAAAATAATTACAAGCCTTTTAATGATTTCAAATACCACAACAGATTTGACAACAGACAACCGTTTCAAAATTTTAGAGGTTATAAAAGATCCAACGTGCATCAACAATTTTACGATCGTGACAATAAAAATTACATGACTCATAATCCTAGACATCAAGCGCCTTATTTAAATAAAATCAATACAGTTAATATAGAAGAGATCGAAGATGACAAAATCATATCAAACGATAAGAAAGATTATAATCTATTAAATATTAATATAAATAACGTAGAAAACGGGGTTCAAAATATTAAAGATGATGCATATATGGTGAACATCAAAATTAATAACGTCTTAACTTAACTACAAGTAGATACTGGCACGAGATTTACAATTCTACCAAAGTATATAATTGAGAAAACAGGCATAAAAACATTATGAAGTCCAACATTATCAGGTTATGACGGCAAGACGATACAAGTGATAGGCACAACGCGAGTGAATGCAGAATACGAAGGGAATTCTCAAATTTTAGATGCATTAATCGTAAGTAATAACAAGATACTTTTACTAGGAAGATCATGGTTAAAACATTTTTTAAAAAAACTTGAAAGATTCATAGGCATGATTGATACGGATCATAAAAACTATATGGTGGAGTTGATATCCAATTGCAAGTCAAAATTAAATAATAAACCTGTCATGAAAACTTAAATTAGATTACGACTTAAGTCAAATACTAAGCCAAAAATTATACCACCGAGAAGGGTACCTTATTCTAAAATTGATATTATAACTAAAGAATTAAATACCTGGTTGAAAAAAAATATCATCGAGCCGGTAAAAGACGTCAGGTGGGCGAGTACACTCATACCAGTTTTTAAAAACAATGGGAGTCTTAGGTTGCGTGCCGATTTTATTGACACAGTTAACCCAGCGCTTAAAGATTTCAAATACCCCATACCTAGAATTAACGATTTGATTGCCAAATTAGCTAGAGGTAAAAAATTCAGAAAAATTGATTTAAAACAAGCCTTCCTGTAAATTCCTATTCACAAGGAGAGATTTGCTAACTTTTATTAATTTTATCATAAAGACTGATAGGGATTGATTTTGATTGTAAAATGATCTTTATAAAAACGTTCACATTTGCTAAGGAGGGAGAACCTCACCCATTTGGCTACGCATATGGCACAAGTTATTTTTTATTATGTTAATGTTTATTTATTATTCCTCAGCCCTATCAAAACTAAAATATTAAGTAATCATTAATTAAAATTTTTATAATAATAGTCTAAGATTCGTAACTTATTTATTATAATTCATATTATATATTTATATTAAACAAACATTTTTCCAAATTAAATACATTTTTACCCTATTTATATATTTTAAAAAAAATAAGCGCACAGATACAAAAATTAATCCAATTAATAAATGAGCGGTCTTTGAGGCAAACAAAGATTATAAAATTTGCTGGTCTCCCAAAATTTCGATCCTTTCCAATAACATCCACCCTAAACGTTAAAATGATTAATTTTTCTTTAAAAAACAACTATATTTTATATATGGGCAAGCGCAATATATTTTTCTTATTTATTTACTTATAGAATTGCTAACCAAACACGGATTGAAAACCAATTTAGTGAGCATTTTTTCCTTTTTTAAAGATTAATTACTTAAAATGGGTTCGGTTAGAGTGATTAATTTTCAACAGGTCAAATGTTAGTAGGCTTTTTTATATACGAACCGGTCCCGAATTTTCTTTAGCTATTTAGAATTGAGCCCGGGTTCAAATTTTGTCTTGAACTCGAGGTTCAATTAAGTTCGAAGCCCTGCTAATTTTAAAATAATCTCAGGTTATGTCCTAGCAAGCAATATTACGCATTTTATTTGGGCGCAAATGGGCTAGTCTAGTTTCGAAATAAAAATAATTTGCGAGATAAATTACGCAGTTAATTTGCTTTGCCAGATCAAATTGATATATTTTTTAATTTTAAAGATATTTCGATAATTGAAACTTTGTTTATCTATGTCTATCAATTTTATTGCAAACTTTTTCAAAAAAAATACCATAATCAAGTCAATTTAATATTAACTTTAAAAAATATAAGTAGGCTTAAAAAAATACTAATCAAAGGGAATAAATGTATTCATTATTACATTTCGAAAAATTTTAAGTTTTAAAAAAAAAAAAAATTTTGTAAATGTAATATGATTCCAAAAAAATAATTGAATCCATTAGTTTTAAATGAAAATTATAGTTTATCGAATTAAATTTTTTTTTATCCCAGGATTACAACATTGAAATTATTGTTAAAATTGAAAATTAAATCATTCTTTCGGGTCGGGTTGAACATATTGTGTAAAACATTTTTAAGAGTCGGTCTAGTCAGAATTTAAAAATTTCTGGCAAAAACTTAGAAAGCAAATTTATCTCACCCCCTCCCCACCCCAATAATTAATATTTTTTACGGGTCAGGCTAAAAAAATATATAAGGACGACGACGAATAATATTTTTAAAATTATCAAAGGTCAGTTGGGAATAGAGATGTTTTTATTTATGTGAGATTCGTCTAAGCATATTTTGCCCAATAGTTGATATCGCACTATATCTCGAGCATATAACATAGTATAATGTATGTTAGGATCAATGTGTTATCTTTTTTTTTAAGCTTTAAATTATTTGATTAATTTTGAGGTTTTTTTTAAAATTTAAAATCTAATTTTATCAGAAATGTATTCCAGCATGCTTAGAATGCCTGCCAAATAAATTTCAGATATTGAGTCATTTATAATTTCTATAAAAAAAATCTGTGGAAAAGCTAAATATAAATTTTATTATGTTCAAAAGTTCATGCCAAAATTTTTTAAAGTATATGGAGTAGGTTTTCTTCACATGTTGAAATACATTTCCAGCAAAATTATATGCCCGAAAAATGATTTAAAGTTGAAAATATAACACAATGACTTTACCTTATATATTCTATCAGATGTGTAATGATACCAAGTATAATGTTATTTTATTTTAAATTAAATATCGGGCTTATACTTCGCCCTTAGAATCAGCCAAAAAAGTGACATCTGTGCACTTTTGATATACGCAAATTATACATACCTCTTTTAATATAGAATCGATATCATCCGGACCAATATAATGTGGGTCTAATATAAGATATTTGATTTCGTCCTTTTCATATTCGTAACTTATGCCGATTATAGTGTGAGCTAATGCACCCCCACCTATGTGTGTTTTTTTTTCGTTAGTAAAAAAAAAAAAATTAAATTTAAAATATGAATTGTTTTATATAGGTTGGACAAAATATCAAAATAGCTACGAGAAAGACGTTCAAATTCTATAAGGGGGCAAGTAGAACTGCCATACTTCTCGCTACAGGTTTCGCAATCCCGCTAAATAAATTTCTGCCCAGAATAACGCAATCAAATGTCCCGCGAAATTAAGAAAATCTCGCTAAAAAGTAATAAATTTTAATATTTCATAAAAACTCTAGTTTTAATAAATAAATTAATGTAAAAAAATATAACTGTATATTTTATGATATATCATTTTCCTGCTAAATAATAGTCCAAATTGAATGATACAATCAAGTTCGAACATTTTGAAGGAAATGTAAATATAGATAACTTTAAACTTTAACATGATCAAAGATATGTTTGCAGAATTTGTTATATTCTCCAAATTCGCCAACAAAACTAACAATTTATCAGGTTAATTTTTAAACTCTAATCAAGCAAAATAAACTTTTTAAAAAAATATGTAACTATTTATTTTCAATCCCCCATTCAAATGCGGCCTATAGTTATTTTTTGTTTAAATGAATATGTTTTGCCAAAAAATCTCTCTTCGCTCATTCATTCGTGTTATATGAAGCCGAATTGATGGTAAAGCGGAATTGTTACAGGAATTGAAAAGAGCTCGCAAAAAATCTCCGAAGATAAGAAACTTTTAAAATATAATAAGATTCTTCTAATAAATATGTAGATTTGTATTTAATTTATTTATAAATTTTGACTTTGTAAATATGCATAATATTCAAATAAAGAATGATAAATTCGTAATTTAACAAAAAAAAATCCAATGCTTGTTCCGTCTTTTCTATTATTTTAATTATTGAAAATCCTTGCCAACTCACTTTTAAAATATGGCAGGTCTAATGTCTAGTATTGTCAAACGGCCAGACTAAGATTTTACCAAAAATAATATTATGTAAGCCTGGATAGTTTACTCTAGGTGGCAGAAAGGTTTGGATCTCTATTTATCAAACCTCGAGGCTTAGAAAATATTATTTTGACGAAATAATCGGATGGATTTTAAAAATGGATACAAATCGGACTGTTTGCAATACTAGTCAAGGCTAAATCTAATCCAATTCGCATATATTTAAAAAAAACGTTTCTAATTTCAGTTTCTTATCATTTAATTTCTTCTTATTTGTGTAATTATAATATTATATAATATTAAAATAAGGAATGACAACATAGTACGTCGTACCTATCATAATAGGAGTCCCTTGCGTCTCAAAATGGAATAAAAAAGTATTTAAATAGTCCTTCATCTCTAACCCCGAACGCAAATGCAAAATTCTTGAATCGATCTTAATTTATTTTTTTGAAAGATAATATATATATCTTATAAATTAAAAAAATATTATTATACTCTGCAACTTCATTTTGGCCTATTCTTCCAACTATGGCCGATCAAGCCACCATTTTTAAACTTTTATACCTATACTCGTGTTTTTAAATTTTGATACTTTAAATACTTAACTTTAAAATTAAACAAGCAAGAGGTTTGGAGATCAGAGGATAAATAAAAAAAATTTACAAGATTATTTTGTAAATATGTTTAAAAAATAAAATAAAAAATTGTAATATATATTATAGAATATTGTTATAATAAAAATTACATACAAAAATCATAAAATTTATTTAATTAATAATTAAAACATTAGTAATCTAATAATAAATTTTCACAAAATTTTCTCTACACTAAAAAACTATGGTGGAGTGTAGAGAAAATACGGTTATTGTACAATTTTCTGATCTTCTATGCGCACATAGACCGAGTTGGGTAGATGTCCATCGCAAGGACACGAAATGGGTTAAGAAAATGAAAACTTAGAAATAGGTGGTAAGAGGCTTAAAGGAAGACTCAAGCAAAGTTCGGTAAAGTTAGTGGAACAAGATCTACAACTTACTCTTGAATGTGTCAGACGTATTCGATAGAAGTTGTTTCTAATCAAACGTGAAGGCCAGAAAACTATAGTTGAGTGTAGAAAAAAGATGGACGTATTCTATCTATTTCTGACCTTTTAAGATAACGATAGGAGGTGGGCATATCATGTCCATCACATCGCAAGACAGACTAGGATTGGGTTTAAGAAAATAACAAGGTTAGAAATAGGCGGTAAGATGTCTAAAGGAAGACACAAGCAAAGTTCAGCAAAGTTAGTGAAACAAGATCTACAACTTACTAGCTTGAGTATGTCAAATGTAATCGATCGAAGATTTCGGAGAACCTGTGCCATAAAAACAAAGATTAACCTTCCGCAAAAAAGGTAAAACGTATTTGAAGCCGATGATGATATATAATATTTTATTTTTAAAACTTATGCAAGTTCAATTATGTCTTCTAATATAAAAATTTAGGTAAATATAAAATAACAAGCTACCAAAAAATCCAGTCGTGATAAGTTACTAGTTAAGTTGTCAATAACAATGTTAATATTTCTGGAAACATGTACCTACACCTAATTCCAAGAGAATTAATAATCGCTTCCAAATATAGGCTTAAAATTAGAGAGGAGTTACATTGGTATATGAAATATCAGGCTTATAAAGTCAATAATAAAATCACCCGATTTTTTTTGTCAGTTTAAAAAAAAATAATCGCAATAAAATTGACATAACCGAACCTGGTAAAAGTGTTGCAATACGTAGGATACTTCATTGGATCCAATCCATTGACAACTCCCTACAAACGCTTTATCTTTATCGCCTATTTCATGTAGAGCCTTAACATAAAGTATATAAAAAAATGATAATTATATACGATGAACAAATACAATTTTTTAAAGTAACTCTTTTAATGACGTTAATTTTAAGAAACGTAACGAAGCGTTACAATTTTTAAATGCAAAATGTAAAGAAGCTGCTTTTATGAGTATTGTCGGCAACTCTAATAATCAGTCATAACCTTTTGAATTTCTAAAAGAGTAGGCGGCCTGTCTATCAAGCTAGGATCTAACTTTGCGTTAAATTCGATGGCTTCGGTATAGCCTTGTAATATGAGCCAAGAAGAAATAGTTTGCAATGACCTATACGCGCAGCCCCAACCATTATCGTTCACTTTATTTTGTCCGTAATGATAATAGGCGTAATTCCCTCTAACAAATTTCTTTTGAGCTACCGCTGTGTTTGAGAGTTCTTTTATAGCTTTAATTTTTTCTAAAAAAAATTTAAATTTAATGGTTAAAATCTAAAAAGTGATGTTGAATATTCTCTATTTTTTGAGAATATTTAATAATCGTATTTTCATAATAAGTTATAAAAAAATTTTAAATAAAGCCATAATTTAAAAATAAACCTTTAGATTTATTTTTCGATTCTATCGTTTTCATGTAGGAATGTGGATTGATAATATGATTTTCGAGGAAATAAATCACTTCTTCCGAGCTAAAATTCTTTATAGCATTACGCTCAACAAATAAGGGTCTACAAAGTGGAATAAGGAAAGTTTTCATACATTCTTTACGAACATTCTCTAAAATAAATTTAACAATAAAGTAATATATAATTATTTAATAATTTAAAGATTAGATTTTTTTTTTCAAATTTCAATTGTGAAATATTTTTTTTCAGAGAATTTAAAAATATAATAAATCGTTTAATGCTCGAGTCAGGGATGATTCTCTTGGTGCCAATTCCGTTATATTACCCCGCGATTTTATTTTAAAAACACTAGTATTACAAGTGAAGTCAATCAACTAAGATAATACGAAAAATTGTACAGAATGAAATATAATGTTTGTAACAAAAGCCAACGACAAAATTAATCATAAATAATAAGGTCGTATAGTAATTAGACCAGTGCGCCGAAGCTTCAATTGATGGCGGCGGTTTTTTAAAATTATTTTTATCGGCGTTCAGCGGCACGTCGATTTCGGCGTGCTATTTATTTAAAAAATTTTTAAATGAAATTAATATAATATAATTTTTAAGCTTTTCATATTAGATTTGTTGGTCAATACAATTTATATTATAAGCCTCACCAAAGATAACAAAATGTTCATAAAGGTATTGATCAGAATCATCAATATCCAAAATATGGCCAGGCTCATAAATTAATTACAGGCATTTACAATGTTCATCCTCAATTTCAAATTCCAAATCTACTCGATATCTTAGGGTCAAAATGATTTCTCTAATTTTTTTTAATCAGAATATTAATTTTGGCAACTTTTTTATGCCATCAACTGTAACTAAATTATGAAGTCCATGCCCTAAGCATAAATGATGCTCATAATCCCCCAATCTGACTCTTTTATTGACATTAGCCTTAGCAGCAATTACGATTTATTTTGTTTTTTAAATGGAATACCTTTTCTATACTATCGATCTCAGATAGGTTTCACAAGTATGCTTCTGTGTCACGTTTCTAGTTGCCAGAGTAAAATATTTCAGGCCAAAATTTTTGTTTAAATGACGAAGACTAAATATGTAGTGCTGTAAACATTTCTAAAAAAATCGAACGCGTTCACGTTCACGTTCATAAAACCGTTCAAAATTTTATGATAAATTTTTTTAAATTAAATTTAATATTAATAAACTTATATTTTTTAATACAATATATTTTAGCCATGTTAAAAAATAATATAGTTTTATTTTGATAATATAATTATAAATAAAATATAATATAATATAGCGAATAAAAAGATTTTTTATTTATAAAAAATTTTTTTATAAAATTTTAATAACAATTGTTTTCAAAATATTTATCTGATAGACAGGAACACTTGGTAATTAATACGGGATTAGCTTAAAAACGCGCTCTACAGGGGCAGATGAGGGGATGGTATTATACTTAATAACAGCTCTTTTAACGTGGAGAATTAATTAAAAATATATTGTTTTGTTATTTGCAAAAAATTGAGATAAGTTATCCTCCTCCAATCCATTCTCTACTCTCGCCAAAATAGGATATCTCGAAATTAACAGTTTTCTAGGGTTTTCAAAGCATTTTTTTCAATAACGCTATAAGTTTATTTTTAATAGGTTCGTTCTGTGGAAGTTTTATCTATGGTCATTGAAGTTTGAATGCTGGATGTATAATTGCAGAAAGAATATATTGATCCATATATATATGTTCAAATCTTTAAAAAAAATAAAATATATGTAATTAATTGAGAGTGATAGGTTTTATACCTTTTATTAATCCCATTTAATACGGCGTCTATCAATGGTTGACCATACTTGAGGCCACTAATTTTCTTAATTTTAAAATAACTATCGTTATTGTTGGGGTCAAATATCCCAAAGGCATTATTTCTTCAAATTTAATGATTTAACTTAGTTATATCATATAAAATCAAATAATTAATATTAAAATCAAATGTCGTTTTAAATTGGAACCTAAAGATTTTGACAATAAAATACTTTTTGGCCACATTTTACACTTGGTAAGCATTGGACAATATAGGATGTTAATGTAAAACATTTATCATATTTGGCCATAGTAATGATAATTTATCTAATTTTATATTTTCAGAATCAGATGATGAGGATTAAATAATAATATCCATGCTTATGTTAATCTATTAAATTAAAATATAAACAATAAAATTCAAATTAATAGATTATGTGTTAAAAAAATTGAAATGTGAAAAGGAAATACACAGCCGATTAAAAAATATAAATAATACATTTTTTTAAAAATTCGGAAATATTAAATTTTTCAAATAAATAAAAATAAAAATATTTTTAAAATTGAACGAACGTTAAATTCGAACGCGTTCGTCATAAAAAAGGAACGCGTTCACGTTCAAAGTTCGTCAAAAATAAAAGGAACGCCGTTCATCATTTTTTTAAAAAAAACAAACTTCGTTACACTATAAATATGATATAATTTCGATGCTTGACAATATTTTGATCCAGGATATCAGATTTAAAACATGAGCCTTTATAGATGAATAAACATCATCTAGTGTACCCCGACTAATGGTTGCCCTATCAAGCAATTCTGATGAGGAATCCAACATCATATTTCTATTTTTTTAGACAATTCCAATGACCGGAACAAAAAAATTTATTTTTAAATAATCATTTTATTTAAATTTCAAACCTTTAGAAAATCAGTTATTCCTTTATAGTTTATAGAATAAAATGGCATTAAATCTAAGCATCATATCAAAACACAATTTCGCCCTATTAGATTATACATTAAGCTTATACATTAAAAAGATACTTTTAAAAAACATCAATTAGAGCTGGCAACAAACAAACTAGGATGGTTTAAAACTTGCAAGTCCATAAAAAAAATTAAGATGTATTAACGTTTGTGTAATTTTGAAATACTATATATGAATGACTATAAATTATTTAACTATTTTATTATATGCTAATAGAATACAATTCATATTTTAATTTTATTAATGTTAACATTCAAATTTTAATAATAATTTAATATATAAATATAATTAAATAGCATTCTAAAAATTATGCACGCCACGCCGCCGCCATAAAAAAATCGGGCGAGCTGGCCATGCCGCTCATTTAAATCAGCAATTTTTCCAGCGCTAATAAAATTGTAGGCGTGAGCTGGGGAGGCGCATGAGTCAATTAGTAATATATTATGGCTACTTATATAATAATATACCACAAGGTACCCTCTGGAAATCTTCCTCTTCTTTAAAAGAAGGTATTTAAAGATTTTCAGGCGTATGCCATAAAAACTCAAATCTATCTTTTTTTTAAAAAAAAAATATGAAAACATTCAACTTACTTACACATTATATGCCAATTTTTTTCTCTCTCGCAAAATTACTTTTTTTAGCACTATCCCAAAATGTTTCGTATACCAGGGTAATGGGTATGTTTAAAACGCCAGTATTGGGCCAAAATATGAGAGGATTGAAAAGGGTCAATTTCATTACTTCATCACCATTATTTGGATATGTACCTAGATTTTTATTCAATTTCTGTGCATTTTATATTTTTTTTGTAAAATTATATGACGAGGGTTTGCCTCTTTAGAAATTTAATAAATAATATATTTTATTATTATGCTTCTTCCAAATTTAGGGTTTTACTTTTTTTCCTTAATATACCAGAAAAAAATGAATATTTATTCTTAAATAAAATTAAATAGTTTTTTTATAAAAGTGAAAATGCTAAATTAATAAAATACAATTAATAGTGATTAACACCTAAATTTAAATAATCAATAAAATCGCAAACGATCAATTTGGAAGCGGCATATAATGATGAAGATTTTCTTCCATATATTAAAATTTAAAAAATGAAATCTACAAAAACAAAAAAAACCCGCTTTATAGCATCTTTGATGAACAAAATATTTGTGTTGTTTTCCATACACGAATCTCGCATGGTTTGCAATTGACCAACTAATCTTGACCTGATCTCCGCAGCTAATGTGGTCAAGCTTTCATCAACTTTCCCAATATAAAGTGTGGTAAGTTGTATTTGAATAACGATTAACCTAAGAGAGGCAAAAAATATCAAATAATCGATTGTTTATACCAATAAAAATTCTCTTTCGTTAAAATTCCACTTTATGATTCTTAATATTTTTCATTAACTAATGCCGAGATCAGTGCGGCGAGGCCAAGCTCTTCTTATTTAGGATCTTAAAAAGTTAATTTTTATTTAAAATCATTCATTCGGGATAGAAGGCAGTGAGCGACAAGGGGGGGGGATTCTTAAAACATTTATTTTTGAGTACCCAGAGTTAATTTAAAAAAATTAGATTGAATTTAAAGTTGTTAATACATTTATTAGCAATTATTATATATATAGCAAATAAAAAAAATGCCAATTTAAGCATTTTGCCTAAAATCATTTCACCCAATAATTAAAATAAAAATGGTAGCTTTTAAACACTTCCCAATATTTAAAAAAATGTAGGCAAAACCTCTGTTTTGATTATGGGGTGCTGATAAAAAATGTATTGAATAAAAAGTGCCAATGTTTTAGAAATTTTAATTAATTTTTAAAAATAATCTTGGGGGGGGGGGTATGGAAACATGTTTTTTAGGTATGCTAATTTTAATTTTAGAGGGTTGTCTTTAGAGGTCTGCAATGGCGAGTTTTAATCTATCCCCGCCAGCCCCCCGTTTTTTAAAATCCATCTGCCAGCCCTTTTATTTAAAAATGTTGTTTAACCCGCTACCCCCCTCCCCTTACCAATGTTTTTACAAATTATTATTAGTTGGCTTCAGCATTTTAATGTATTTTTACTTTAAACCTATAAAATATGTAATATTATAAAATAAAATGATTTTAATAAATATAAGTCTGTTCTGCTCGTTCCACCAGATAAACATTCAAATTCATCCGCCCATTGTTGCGAAATTATTTTTTAGTTCTCCCAATGTTAAATTATTTAGCCCATCTATGAGCGGGCCTCTAATTTACTTTTCCTCCTCCCCCCCACCTAACATTCTGACAATTAGTAGCTCATAAAATGCGTTTTATAAACCTATTTAGATTTTTATCCTCTTCCATTTCCCCCAAAAAATTGTAGTCATTAGGGTTAACGTACGCTTTTTCGGACTTTGGCAAATGAGTATTCAATCCTTCCACTAAAAAAAATAAATATATAATTAATCTACAAATAAATACTGTGGTTAAATATTTTAAGTCGTCGTTTATAGTTAACCGAAATTGATGGTGATGTTTATGACAAAACAATTAACTATAATATATTGAAATTTAAGCAAAGCGTGGCGATTTTGCAATTCAAATGGAATTATAAACAAATATGTTAAAAAGTGTATACGAATTAAAATGGTCATTATTGGTTATGAGGATTTAGTACCTATCTGTTACTGATGTCATTCTACCCTATACTGATATCCCTTGATGTCCAAAACAAATGAAGAAATAGATATTTAACAATTTCCTTTATTACAAACTTAAAATAAACATTTTAAAAAAATGTGGGTAAGCTTTACAAAATTTAACTGATATGATTCTTTATTTAGAATATAATTAAACCCAAAAAATGGATTTTTTAAAATAAAAAAAATCACTTTTCATGAATGATTTAAATCAAATTGATTTTTATTTCCACATCCAGGAGATTACCTTCCTAAAATTATTGTATTTACCCCTCCCCCTCACTCTATGTTTAAAGGCCAACTGGTAAAAAATAGTCTTTTAGCTTTTAATAATTGTAATTGATCATTTTTGCTAAATTATATATTTGACTTTTCATATCCATTTATAAATATTTACCTTTCTCAATTTTAATCACTGGAACAGCATGTGAGACAGCATTTATTGACTTTTTACCACTATTCAACATCAGTACCTCAATTGGAATATAATTAAACTATAATTTGGACTTCTTAATAAGTAATAATATTATATTACATTTTTATAATGGGAAAGTTGCCTAGAGTTTATGATATCTTGTAGGTATTTATAATTAGCATTAATATTATGATGGGTATCAGAAAAATAAATTTTATCATCATTTTTTAAATTATCTGTTTTGAACAATGAAAAATACAATGTCCTATTTGTCAATTTCTCTACCCAATTATTGATAGCATCTTTTAAATACCACTGAAATAGAGCTAAATATAGACATAATTAATAGATTATTATATAGTTATTCACCATCTTCATTCCATATTATGGATATATTTATATTTATTTGAGTATGAGTCATGACTAAATTTTGAAAAATAGTTTTATAATCATAATTTAATCCTAATAAATTTAAAAAAAATATATATAATTATAATAGAATATACCATCGTCAATAGCATCAGGTATAAATATATCAAAATGAATTGAAAGTAGCTCATTTGTTTTAATGTTGAGAATATACCATTTTTCATTAATTAATGATTTATAGGTATTGGTAACATCATCAATATCAGTTTTGTTAGACTTTACTAATATTATAAATGTTAAAATTGAGCTCAGATCTTCATCTAAATCCTAGATATTATCATACAAAAATAATTATAAAATTAATGAAACTTCTATAAAATTTTGAACATCTTTAATAATCTTGTGTTTAATATCTTGATTTTGCTGATCACATTTGTCAGCTTCAATTACATGAAGGTAGTTTATTGTTATTCCTGTAAATAAGCATTATAAAATTTTTATCAAATTGTTTATACCGCCTGGAATAATTAACTCTATTTCATTAATCTTATTTTGACAGAATTCTATAATTAACTCATTATTATTTAATCCCAAGAGACAAAAATTATGGCCAATAAGCGTTTTCTTCAGTTGTTCATAAATTTTCTATAGTTATAGATAAATAAGCATTCACTAATATGAATTACTACATTTAAAATATTATCTGGTATACTTATTTTCTTTTTACACATGGTTTTTATATGAATGCATTTTCACAAAGTACCCTCATTGGACTTATATAATAATTTAAACAGATATTTCTTTGTTAAAAACAATGCCTAAATCGAAAGGCTTAGACGCTATAATGTTCTCAGATGTTTTATTAATGTTCAAATGTTTGAATTTATGATAACAATTTTAAATTTATTAATATGGAAGATTGATTCACTCTAGATTTATCCAATTCACCAAATGCTATATATTCACCAACATTGAAAACATGTGAAAATTAAAATTTTCTTTGATGGCCTGGTTAGGGTCTAATCTAGCTTCTCTAAAATCTCAAATCGGCAAGCTGATGAGGAAATTTTTTTTATGGCGGAAGGCGAAACGTTAAATATTGATAGTATTATTGAACTAGTGGTAATTAACTAACTTGCTAAAGGAATTCTCTATTGATCTTATTAACGATATTTTCTTTTATGATATATTTTAAATGCTTAAATAAATTTAAAAAAGCTGAAATCGGAGTGCCAGTTATTTAAAAAAATTCTCTAAATAAGGGCAATCTAGGATTTTCATGTGAAACAGGCTGAAGCAGTGGCGTCACTAGGAGAGGGCGCACAGGGGCTCGAGCCCCCTGAAAAATTTGAATAGCCCCCTGAAGCAAAATATTTATTTTAAATCTAAAAATAAATTTTTTAAATTGCCCCCTGAACGATTTCTTTTATAATTCTATTGAGTAATATATAGATTTAATTTTTTCATTTAAAAATTAATAAAACTATCAAAACTATCTAATTTTTTATTAAATGAATACTATTTTAATAATTAGATTAGATTATACATATAAATTATATGTTCACTCTGTCAGCTTGCAATCAAATTCTGTTTTAAAAATATATCAATATCACTTATTAAATATTAACTTAGCATTAACAGTTTAAGCTTAATTGACTTCTATTATTTAAATTATTATATAACCTGATTTAATTTAATATTAATTTTAAATTAACAAATTTAATATTGTAATTAGCCGAGTTCAAAATCAATAATCAACTATATTATTGATATTTAAATTTAATTACCAAGCCTCTTCTTAAAATTATTTTCAACGTCCAAATCCAAATATGTATAAAAGATGTATTTATGAAAGTAAGTAAACATATAGTTTATAATCTTCTATTAAATATAATTGGTTATAAAATATTAGGTTAAATACCACTTTTACAAACTTATTTGACAGTTATATAATATATTACAGTTAATATTTAATAAATATTTCAAATAAATGCTTTTAATAATAAATATAAGTAATAAATTGCTTATATTTAACGCCATCTATTTATTTAGAAATATTTTTTAAAATTTAACATCCTAATGGATGTAATAAATTAGATAACTTTTCTTCTCTTTTTTACGTGTTTTTAGGACTATTTTTTTCTTATTTGAAAAACAGTTTTGAGTTAAATTTTTAATACTAGTATATTTTTGATATTATTACAAACTACTACTATTTTAAGTTATAATTTAACAACTAGAGGTGGTGCGACAATAATATATAAAATATTAATTAATTTCTTTTATCATATCATATCACTCTGGTTCTTATTTTATATTTATAAAATGTTTCATTTCTAATATGACATCCATGCCTTGTATTTATAACTTAAGGCTTCAATACATTTGCATAGATTTTTAGTGTTTTTGTTTTATCAATTTATCTAGCATAATAAATTCAGATATAATTTAATATAGTGAGTGTCATTGCCATGATTGCAAATTAACCAGCATCTATTATTTCTGTGGCTATGTAATTTAAGATTATTATTACAGCTGCTGTGAGCATATAATTGCATATTTTAATAAGCAATAATGGTCAACTGTGTAGTTGTTTATATATCATTAAAAATGGAAGATAATAATTTAGAAATTTAATATCTCACATTTTTTTTCTTACTTACTTATCTAGCTTTCATCATGTCATTTAAAAGGAAGCTCTAACCACTATATAGTTTTATGATTTGGGTTATCATTTATATTCTCTTCTCAAAAAATTGTTGATTTGGTTAGGCTTATAAATTTTTCCTTATTAGTCCATTCAATAAAACATTGTCTAAAATGGTAACAGAGAGTTATATTAGTTTTATGACCTTTTGTCAATGTAACTTGCTAGAATTATATAGCCTTATGTGGTTTTTAAAAACCATTATCAATTGAGGCATATGTATGAATTAATTTACCTTTTTTATCACCTGTAATTTTTTACGCAAATTTTTTTATATCAGCAATCGAAAATATTTTATACTGTAATAAATAGATTATGTATTAAAAAATATTATTTTTAGAAATGGTTTGTATTGTTTTAATTATTTATATGCTAGTTTATTTTGTATGCAAAATATTATAAATAACAAAATATGTAATTAAGAATAATTGTCTAGAGTTATTTTTTAACTGAGCCCCTGAGATTGTAAAAGCTAGCGACGCCCTTGGGCTGAAGACTATGGATCATTCAGAATAATTGTCTAGAGTTATTTTTTAACTGAGCCCCCTGAGATTGTAAAAGCTAACGACGCCCTTGGGCTGAAGACTATGGATCATACAAGTATATTGAAAATCAAGTATATTGTAAATCTTAAAATGGGAATATCTTTTAAAATAATGATAATAACTTAATGTACAAATGATTACCTAACAAATCTTAAATCTCCCTCCCTTGTATAATACATATTTTGGTACACAACAAAATCTTAAATCTCCCTCCCTTGTATTATACATGTTTTAGTAAGTCTACTTATGGACAAACAGCACTATAATTTAGCCACTATTTATTGGAGTTGGTAGGTTTACTTTTACGTTAATAGCTTTTGCCGTAGTATCAGGCAACTATTTCCTATAACTTTGCTTATTATATTTAAACTGCTATCATCCATATAAGAGCATAATCTGTTATATTACCCAGAGAAGAGAGGACCAAAGTTTCCTTTTCACTGATTTCATAAGTTAAATATTAGAAGAACTAAGATTATTAAATTAAGCTAATCTCTTTAAAAAAAAGAAAAGATATATACTCTCTTAACACTTACATATCACTCCCACTTTTCACTCCATACTCTTCATTATAATATCACAAAACCTTTCAGGCAACTAATCCTTATAATTGCCTTATTCACTTATATCTATTTGTTTTCTGAAGTTTAAATATTTAAATAAGAATATTAAATTAAGCCAATTATACTAAATGTTTTATCTAATTTATAAATTTAGAATAAGAATCTTTAATTAGGTTGAAGCGTCGTGTAAATTTAATCAAGAAAGTGTTAAAAAAATAGGAAATTTGAATGCAGATTGATCTTATTCACTAAGTATCACCAAATATCACAAAATTTCAGGCTACTACTTCATAATTTGTCTTATTCAATCACATTTCCCTGGTTTGAAAATTTTAAATATTTGAATAAGTCTATTAATTTGTGTTAAGTTAAAATAAATTTCTCATCACATTTTCCTGGTTTGAAAATTTTAAATAAGTTTATTAAATTGTGTTAAATTAGACTAAATGTCTTCATCTATCTCATAAATTAGATTATGAATTATTAAAATTAAGCCAAACTGTTGTGTAACTAAAATTAATAAATTGATGACTAATAATAACACGATTATATTAAACATTATCTTTGATAGCAATAAATCACTTCACTTTTGCTTTTCTAAAAATATGTTAGTTAGCTCGATGTAGGAAAGCATATAATGAAACATATTGACGATCTAATTAAACACATGCATATATAATCATAATCTTGACAAATGTTATTAAAATAACAAAAGAAATAATAAAAGAAATTTCAATAATGCTTTGTATGTATTTTAATTATTTTTTTTATTATCATTTTACATGAATGTTAATCGTCAACATGTTTTCATTTTAATCGTTAATATGTTTCATTAAATCATCACAACACTGTAAATCAACCATTGGACTAGTTTCTTACAATTCTTAAAGAAAGCTAACCGTCTCGTTTCTTTCTCAATACTTTTTCAAAATAAGGAACTCCATACTTTTTCAAATAAGAAAAAAAATAATAATAAAAACAAAAAAAAATCTTAAAGTAAGCTTACCATCTCGTTTCTTATCAAAACTTTTTCAAAATAAGAAAAACGAAAAATAAAATAATAATAAAAAGGAAATTGATAAATAAATAAAATTATTTTCTCGTTTCTTAAATTCTTTTACCAAACCTTACATTATGAATTTTAATTCCTCAGTCTTTTACTTCTTAACCCTCCACTAGACATAATATTACATAACTAGAACCCACTATAGCATAAATTATAGCATCTTTATCATTTATATTCTCCTTAACTAATAACACAATGCTAAACGGGTCCCTTTTCTTATCCTCCCTAAATATAAGTGGCATTAAAGACAAAATGCCAATTCTTATGACACTACTATCAAACGACTTTACTGACATAATTGGATTACAGGAAACCCACTCCCCCGACAACCATTCGGCCCAATTTACAAATTTCATATACTACGGCTCTGGAACCACGGTCAACAAATGGTCAGGTCTGGCCTTTCTTACCAAAAATAAACTCCATAAATACATCATAAAATTTGTCCCAATGACTGAAAGAATCGCAGTACTATACCTGAATACCGTCTACAAACCCACAATTCTCCTCAATGTTTACGTCCCTCCAAAACTCACTGAAAGAATGCTATTCTTGGAACACCTGGAAAGTGTGATAAGCTCCTTACCTAAAAGATACAACATTATAGCGATGGGAGATTTTAATACTAAAATAGTCATGATATAACATACAAAGTAAGTAAAACTATAGGTAACACAACAGTTTATAACAGCTACGACAAGGATGGGAAAAAACATCTCCAAATATG